GAAAAACAATTACAGGCTTTCGTTTTACACTCACTTGGCAGGATGGTAGTACCTCCCTGGGTGACTGCTGTCTACCAACCTACTACCTATGAATAATAATAATAATAATAATAATAAAATAATAATAAATAAAATAATAATGAATATGTGTAAAGGTAGAAAGTTGAAAGTGAACATAGAAAAGAGTAAGGTGATGAGAGTATTAAATGATTTAGATAAAGAAAAATTGGATATCAAATTGGGGAGTAGTAGTATGGAAGAAGTGAATGTTTTCAGATATTTGGGAGTTGACGTGTCAGCGGATGGATTTATGAAGGATGAGGTTAATCAAAGAAATGATGAAGGAAGAAAGGTGAGTGGTGCATTGAGGTATATGTGGAGGCAAAAAATGTTATCTATGGAGGCAAAGAAGGGAATGTATGAAAGTATAGTAGTACCAACACTCTTATATGGGTGTGAAGCTTGGGTTGTAAATGCTGCAGCAAGGAGGCGGTTGGAGGCAGTGGAGATGTCCTGTCTAAGAGCAATGTGTGGTGTAAATACACCTACCATCCAACTTACGACCAAGCTTGGTTCCGACCAACTGGTCGTAAGTCAAAATGGACGTAAGTTGAACCTTTGAAAATTGCCGACATACTGGGTAGGGCATAATGTCAAACCTTTCCTATATAAACTACCTACATAGTACTGTAATGTAATGTACAATCATTATTTCATAATTTTTATCATAATTTACTTCTATTGTTATATTTTAATTATTTATGTACTGTATATAATGTATACATGGTAGTGAACTGTATTGTAAATTTTACATTGCATACAGTATCATATATTACTGTTATCTTTATGTATTGTCGACACAGTGGAATGGGAGAATACCACTGGTAGTGTCATCCTGCCAGAATGTCCTATAACCTATACCCTAAGTAAAGAGAAACAACTCTGGAACATGTGTAATACGTAGCTGGCTGGCCGGGTGGGTGGGAGGGTGGCTGGGTGGGTGGTTGGCTGACTGAATGTGTCTTTCTATCTCTCTCTCATTCCTTGATGTTGGTAAGGGGCTCTTGATTTAGGGAATTGGATCTGTGCTCCAATTCCCCGAATTAAGCCTGAATGCCTTCCACATCCCCCCCCAGGTGCTGTATAATCCTCCGGGTTTAGCGCTTCCCCCTTGATTATAATAATAATATCTCTCTCTCTCTCTCACTTAAGTAAAGTTATCATACATAGTATAAATTACCTAGGATAACCTAAAAAATCCAGACAAAGTGCTATACAGTGGATCTGTGCTCCAGTGCCCTAAATTAATAATAATATTAATAATTATTATTATTACAATAATACATGTGTACTAATATTAATAATAATACTATTATTAAACTATAATATAATAATCATGTCCACTCATTACTTACCTTAAAATATCTGTAGTCTTAATGTAGAGTGAGAGGCGAGTAAACAAGATTAAATGAATAAACGAGAGAGAATGAGAGGGTAGAAGTTTCATGAGTTATGTAAACAAACGTTGTTGTTGCTGTTACCAGCCCAGACACGAATGGTTTCTGTTCACTCCGTCAAGCCGACCAGAAAAACATCTCATATTTGTTATGTTTATATGTTATGTAGCATGTTTATTATATAATTTTGAAAAAAAATCATAGATGGATTAAGCAAAATGTCTATATCAACGTTTTATACACATTTAATGCGCCTCAGTGATTATTATTGTGCTATTATCATTATTAATATGGCATTTTCAAGACCAATTACACTCTTAATGAGTGGCTCTGAGACAGACAGAAAGACAGACACACACAGGGAGACAGATACAGACAGACACAGATATACAGGCAGACAGATACAGACAGGTTTATGTGCAACACTGAAAACAAATAGAGAGTTGGAGAGTAAGAGCCTTTCTTGCCACAATCTCCAGTGCAAGATTCAGACTTCATCTTAGGGGCCATGGTGAAATTTACTGTCCAGTTAGTATAGTTAATACAGTATGATGCTGCAGATAGGGTAGGGTTACTCAAACTGATTCTGCCTGCATGATGCATTGCCGCCGCAAGTATTGTCAAATATTGTACAGTGGTGTGCATCAGCCAGCCCAGCCCAGCTGCCAGATGCATGGTCGTAAGTCGAGTGGACGTATGTCGAGCAGGTCGTAAGTCGGATGGTAGGTGTATTATGCAGAAAATTCGGAGTGTGGAAATTAGGAGAAGTTGTGTAGTTAATAAAAGTATTAGAGGGTTTGTTGAGGTGGTTTGGTCATTTAGAGAGAATGGATCAAAGTAGAATGACATGGAGAGCGTATAAATCTGTAGGGGAAGGAAGGCGGGGGAGGGGTTAAAGGTGGTGGTGTGGGCGAGGGGTTTGGACTTCCAGCAAGCGTGCGTGAGTGTGTTAGATAGGAGTGAATGGAGACAAAGGGTATTTGGGACCTGACGATCTGTTGGAGTGTGAGCAGGGTAATATTTAGTGAAGGGATTCAGGAAAACCGGTTATTTTATATAACCGGACTTGAGTCCTGGAAATGGGAAGTACAGTGCCTGCACTCTAAAGGAGGGGTTTGGGATATTGGCAGTTTGGAGAGATATATTGTGTATTTTTATACGTATATACTTCTGGGCACCTCTGCAAAAACAGTGATCATGTGTGAGTGAGGTGAAAGTGTTGAATGATGATGAAAGTATTTTCTTTTTGGGGATTTTCTTTCTCTTTGGGTCACCCTGCCTCATGGGAGATGGCCGACTTGGAAAAAAAAAAATAATAATGATTTTTATTTTGACATGATATATAGTTGTACAAAATAATACAATAGCTGGGTGTACATGCCAAAAGCCCCTTCGTATGCAGAGCATTGTGGGCAAACTTAAAATTAACTGAAGATTAGGAAGGCAATAACAGATTATTATTTGGATATTGGATATCTGAGTACAGTACTTACAGTTTTAAATTTAGTTTATAGAAATTACATAAGAAAGGAGGAACACTGCAGGAGGCCTGCTGGCCCATACTAGGCAGGTCCTTTACAATTCATCCCACTAACAAAACATTTGCCCAACCCAATTTTCAATGCCACCCAAGAAATAAGCTCTGATGTGAAAGTCCCACTCAAATCCAACCCCTCCCACTCATGTACTTATCCAACCTAGATTTGAAACTACCCAAAGTCCCAGCCTCAATAACCCAACTAGGTAGACTGTTCCACTCATCAACTACCCTATTTCCAAACCAATACTTTCCTATGTCCTTTCTAAATCTAAACTTATCTAATTTAAATCCATTACTGCGGGTTCTCTCTTGGAGAGACATCCTCAAGACCTTATTAATATCCCCTTTATTAATACCTATCTTCCACTTATACACTTCGATCAGGTCTCCCCTCATTCTTCGTCTAACAAGTGAATGTAACTTAAGTCTCTTCAATCTTTCTTCATAAGGAAGATTTCTAATGCTATGTATTAATTTAGTCATCCTACGCTGAATGTTTTCTAACGAATTTATGTCCATTTTGTAATACGGAGACCAGAACTGAGCTGCATAATCTAGGTGAGGCCTTACTAATGATGTATAAAGCTGCAGTATGACCTCTGGACTTCTGTTGCTTACACTTCTTGATGTAAATTCCAGTAATCTATTTGCCTTATTACGTACGCTTAGGCATTGCTGTCTTGGTTTAAGGTTGCTGCTCACCATAACCCCCAAGTCCTTTAAAATTACAGATCATGTTTGCATTAATTTATAATATGGTAATATCTCTATGGAACAGCCAAATAAACATTGCTTTACCTTACTTAGTAAGGTGTTGGTTAATCTCTACAAAATACAATTTGCTGGATATTCAGGGTGATATGGTTTTGCATCAGTGACAATGCTCACTCAAACTTCATTTACACTTATTCACTCTTTATTATCAAAAATTAACCTTTTCAACAATTGTAGGAATACAGTTTTAGTAGATGCATGACTGTTAATGACACAGAAATGTGTAATTAAGATAGTGTATGATACTGAGTTAATAATCAATATAATCTGCTAAACTTTTATATTTCTTATAAGATGTACTGAATATTCTCTTTAAACCTTTTGTGTAAGTGTTGTATATAAATTATGAGTGCATAAGTTATATAAATTTGGAAAACTAGTTAGGTAAGAATAATACTGTCTAGTGGAAATGACTTGCTCTCACTTAACAGGGGTCCCAGGAGGCAGGCTCAGGGAGGCACCACTCATGGACAAGCAGCTGGGGAAGTCACCATGATGCCCAGTAAGCAGACAGAGAAAATCTACACAGGAACTACACTAACTTCACACATTACTTAATTTTTTGAACTTTTGGCATACAATTCTTTCCCTTATACTAATATTTTTCACTACAACAACTTTGCACTCTAACTGATGATCTACTGTACTCAAATTAGTAAAATGATTTTATTAAAAAATGTGGCAAATATATATAATTTTCCTTGCTAAATTAAATCTAGAGTTCATTTATTGAACTTGAATACCCCAAATCTCTAAATTCTCATTAATAATTCTTTTAACAAGGCCTGGCCTGACAAAAATAAAAAAAAAAGTTTAACACATGGGTCATGTCCCACTGAGGTAGGGTTTCCCAAAGAAGCACAAGTACATTCATCATCATTCATTCAACTGCTATCTCGCTAGAAGAGCACTGAAAAAAAATTCAGATCCTTTTCTTTTTACAGGTCTACTTCACTACAATATTACCCAACATTAACTAAGCATATTCATGAGATGAGACAAGTCCCTCCAGTAACACACACTCATAAAATTATGGAACAGCATATAACCTTTATTACCACAGTACAAGCAATACCACTGATAACATCTCTTCCTTTCTAAAGTTCATTCACACTGTTTGCCTATAAATAATGAAGCATCATTGTCTCCAGCATTCATTTAGCATAGTCATGATATCCACACAGGTTGCTCCTAATAATGTAAACCAATAACAGAGTTTTAGTACTTACCTGTTACCCCCATAGATAGTAAAACAATTAGTAGCTCCCATGCGGCTCTCTGTTTCCTCAACCATCACACCTCGGAGGGGCAGCTGACCATGCACTTTGAACTGTAGTACTGGTGTAGTAGTCCGGTTCGTGTACAGCAGCACATCATTAAACTTTACGTAAAATAACAAAGTCTGTGAGACAAATATTTCAAAATATAATGAATAAAATTATCAATGTCAACATCAAAATGCAAGAGAAAAGTAAGTCTAGTCTAGTAATGTTGAGGAAGCCGCATTATCCAAATTATCAGATGCTACAAACACTAACTTAGAACAACTGAATGGCTAGCAAGAAACTTAGTGAAACATTATGATGCCAAAATGTTAAACTCTAAAATGAACAGCAAAACAATATTAAATAAATTATAAAATATGTTTTACAAGAAGATAGAAAACGTGTGTAACAATACACTTATTGCTATTTAACCCTTCCATTGTTCAGATCCCCAATCTGAAACTTGTCCACAGCATCCAAGAATTTTCAAACAATTTTTATTTTTTCTTATGAAATAGTAAAGAACCTTTTGCTGAAGGTATATCAAAAAGTCTAGGTAGTAGGTTGGTAGACAGCAACCACCCAGGGAGGTACTACCGTCCTGCCAAGTGAGTGTAAAATGAAATCGTAATTGTTTTACATGATGGTAGGATTGCTGGTGTCTTTTTTCTGTCTCTTAAACATGCAAGATTTCAGGTATGTCTTGCTACTTAGGTCACACTAAACATACATGTACAAGCATATATATATATATACACCCCTCTGGGTTTTCTTCTATTTTCTTTCTAGGCCTTGTTCTTGTTTATTTCCTCTTATCTCCACGAGGAAGTGGAACAGAATTCTTCCTTCGTAAGCCATGAGTGTTGTAAGAGGCGGCTAAAATGCCGGGAGCAAAGGCCTAGTAACCCCTTCTCCTGTATAAATTACTAAATTTAAAGAGAGAAACTTTAGTTTTTCTTTTTGGGCTGCCCTGCCTTGGTGGGATATGGCCGGTTTGTTAAAAAAAAAAAAAAATAATATATGAAATAACGAATAATTGATGAAGTTATGATTCTACGAATTTTGCTGTGTCAGTGATATTTACACATTGGCAATTTTGCCCACTTTGAGTCCTTTGTTAGCCCAATTACACTGTCCCAGTAGACCAAATTCTTAGCAATTTTGTTAGTATGTCTTCCATTTTATCAAATGAGAACAAGAAACCACCCAATCAATTATTTCAACTACCCAATAAAGTGATCAGAAATTGGAAATTTGGCCAATTTCACACAAATTTCAAAATAGGGTCCAGAATAAACAATGCAGGCATTCCTGGCACTAAAATAACATTTGCTCTGTTCAGTGGTTACGTTCCCAGGCTTTACATATGAATTCCATATTGATTTATTATTCACACGAAGAATTTTTATTCACATAAATATAGAAGATTTACTGTCATGCAATATTGTAATAATTGTCTAAATAATATCAGAGCATTCGTGAATGCATATTAGACCCACCAGTTGGACACGTATTGGATGAGCTATGCGATTTGTTTACTTTTGAATGTCAGCAAATATCAAACATTTCAAAATCATCTCTATTTGTGTAATATATCTTCCATTCTGTCAAATGAGATCAAGAAACTGAGAATACAATGGTACCCCGAGTTTCATACAGTTTCCAACTTGAGCAATTATGTAAGTGTATTATTGTAAGTGCTTTTCTAAGTGTATTTTTGGGGGTCTGAAATGGACTAATCTAATATACATTATTCCTTATGGGCACAAATTTGTTCAGTAACAGCACTTGAACAGCCTTCTGGAATGAATTATGTAAAAAACTCAGGGTACCACTGTACAACTATAAAAACTATACAAAAATACACCACAAAGTCGCTATTTCAAACCATAAACATCCGTGTTTTTTTTCTCGTCACTGTGTGCTGCAGGATTTTTTTTTATATATATGGCTCACACTTACTGCATAGACCCATTCTCTCATATCTAGGCCCAAATTTACCACTGAGTGAGCTGAGCTCATGGTATAGTACTACAGCAATAACAGTGACCTTAAAGCCTTAGTATTGTGGCACAGCCAATGAAAGGGTTAATGATTTTCGGTATTTTCTTTCAAACACATTCCATGATTTAACGCACATTTATAGTAGCCAAAGATAAAAACAAAAGAAAAAAAAAAGAAAAGGAACCACAGACAGAATAAGGAATATATAGATATAATAAGGATATCAAAAAATTCAGAAATCTAAATGTGTACTTTCAAACTTATGTTTTTGCTTTTACACTGTTTACCTAAATAATCTTCATTTTGTTTGATGTTTTTAACTGCAGCATACTGTGAAGCTATTGATTAAACAAAATTTTGACCAAATACAAATCAAAATACTGCACAGTACACTCATGTGAATATCTAAATTTCAGCCTTATTCATTCATTCCTAAAATAACTTCTGACTTTTTTTATTATAAACTTTTCTGCCTACCAAAGTCTCCTTTTATGTAACCCATTAAATGTCCTGTTTGGACATCCGAATATTTTGAAAAAAAAAAAAAATTAAATTAAAGAGGGCAATTTTCTGTGTAGTTACCGAGATGTAAGACCACGAAGTTGGTGCTGGATGCTCACCTGATTGGAACATGGAGTCCTGCCGCTTGCAGAAGTGTTGCCGATGTACCTTCTTTTTCTCATTTTTAAATTATTTTATATAATTTTTATGTTCTGATAATTACAATTTATAGTAGTTCTTGTGATTTCATAGCCAATCTTTGTTCTGACACTAATATTTGGCACTGAAATTGTACTCAAATTGTCACACACACACTGACAGATCAACATTTACACCTGCCTTGGTCATTTACTATTGTCTATGAATATATACAAAGTATTTATAGGTCCCAGCAATGTTTTAGACACACTGGAGTATATATGAAACTCCTTGAAGCATGGTGTTAAGATGAGTGCTACTAAATTGCTGACAGGGTAAGCAGTGGAGTGACACCTGATGATCGTGCACTGCTGCATGGAACCCAGGCTTTACTTGTTTTCACTGTTACACATAAACATGTCTGTCTCTCTAGCTATGTCTGCTTATCTTTCTGTCTGCCTGTGTCTGTCTGTCTACCTGTGTCTTTTTGTCTGCCTGTGTGTCTCTGTCTGCCTGTGTGTGTGTGTCTTTCTGTCTGCTTGTCTCTCTTATCTCGGAGTTGCTCATGAACCAACTGGTATTACACACGATGACATCCGATTCCTGAACAAGTGAAAATGTGTATTACTTGCTAGTTGCCAGTCATGCTTATTATGCATTATATTGTCTACAAGCACAGTATAGCACTTTGGATTTTTTGGGTTATCCTAGATAATTTATACTATGTATAATTGTATTTATGTATATGTACCTGTGAGACAGAGATAGAAAGAGACAGACAGAGATAGATACAGACAGACAGACAGACGGAGATAGAGACAGCCAGCCAGTCACCGGCAGGTCAGCCGCCAGCCAACCAGCCTGCCAAACACGTATTACATGTTCCAGAATTATTTCTTTTTACTTAGGGCATAGGTTACAGGGCATTCTGGCAGGATGATACTACCAGTGATACCAAAATTGAAAGGGTGTTGCACATGGGTTATTATCGAGTTTTTTTATATTTCCATGACCACTTGTGGCCACATCCACCTCAAAGCCACTAAACTATCATCAACATCACTTTCCTCTTAAAAGGGGAGTGTTAATACGACATGACAACAGTGAATCCTTGGTGTTTGCCGCACTTGCTGTAGCTGGCGCTCAATTGAACTGGTGATCCTACAAGGTACCAAGTGGTCCTAGATTTTTTTAATACTGCACACACTGAGTGTTAAGATCCGTTCTATGCTGACCAGGCATCTCAGGCCAATTGTGCCAAATTTGGAGACAGAAAAAATAAAACGTAATCTACATTTGGAGTGCTAGCGGTAAGAATGGACAGTTAAGGGGTTAAATAATACTAAAATATTAACCCTTTGAGGGTCCGTGTCGTAGATCTATGGCTATACGTTGAGGGTCCAAACCATAGATCTACACCATGAGCTCAGCTCACTCTGATAAGCTGAGAGCAGTAAATTTGGGCCTAGATGAGAGAATACATCTACGTGATATGTGTGCACCACATAAAACAAATCCTGCAGCACACAGTGCATGAGAGAAAAACTGAGACTAGTGTTTTTTCGTATGTTTTTATAGTTATATTTGCGATTTCTTGGTCTCATTTGATAGAATGGAAGATATATTATAGAAAGAGAGATGATTTTGATTGGTTTTAGTAATGGAAATGGGTTGAAACTGAGCTCAAAATCGCAGAAATGCTAAAATTTTGCCGATGTTCAAGAGTAAACAAATGATCCCACACGTCTAATACGCGCCAGCTGGTGGGTCTAATATACATTCACATATGTGGTGATATTATTTATACAATTATAACAGTATTGCATAACAGTAAATCTTCTATTTTTTGGCTTGAATAAAAATTCATTATGTGAATAAAAAATTAAATGGAATTCATTTGTAAAGCCGGAAAAAGTAACTAATGAACAAAGGAAATGTTAGTTTAGTGCCAGGAGTGCCTGCATTCTTTATTCTGGACCCTATTTTGAAATTAGAATATTTTGAACTTTGCATTAAATTGGCCAAATTACCAATTTCCGATCACTTTATTTTGTAGCTGAAACAGTTGACTTGGCGATTTCTTGTGCTCAGTCGATAGAATAGAAGTAATACTAGTGAAATAGCTAAGAATTTGGTCGACTGGAATAATATAATTGGCCTAAAATGGGAGTCAAAGTCGGCAAAATCATTGATGCGTAAATATTGCTGACACATCAAAATTCGTGAGAGCATAATTTCATCAATTTTCCATCAAATTTCGTACTTTTTGTTTTATTACCTTCAGAAAAAAATTCTCTACCATTTCATAAGAAAAAATAACAAAATTATTTTTTGAAAATTCTTGGACACTGGTGCACACTTTGAAATTTGGCCTCTGGACCCTGAAAGGGTTAAAAATGCCAGGAGCAAGGGGCTAGTAACCCCTTCTCCTAGGAGTAGTATAAATTTTTAGGTCATCCTGCCTTGGAGGGATATGGCCTGTTGAAAAAACTCTCACAAGCAGATATATAGGGTTCGGTGTAAGGATTTTCAGTTGTTGACAGCCTATTACACAGCACATATCGATGCAGTAAATAACACCGAGGCAGGGTGACCAAAAAAAAAAGAGAAGAAAAAGTTTTTCTTCTTTTTAAATTTAGTAATGTATACTGTAGAAGGGATTACTAGCCTCTTGCTCCCAACATTTTAATCACCTCTTATGACATGCATATCTTACAGAGGAAGGATTATTCTCCACTTCCCAAGAAGTAAATAATAATTATACTATAATTATCCCCATCACTCAGTAAATTTTTCTACTCTTTTTTTTAACAAACCAGCCATATTCCACCAAGGCAGGACAACCTAAAACAAAAAATGCAAGTTTTTTTTTTTAAATTTAGCAATTTATACAGGATAAGGAGTTACGAGCCCCTTGCTCCCAGCCATTTTTCTATTTATGCTTTCCAATATTTTCATTACATTTCCTTCTATCTCTGAATTGTTCTCAAACATTCTATCTCAAACTTTACTTCCATCATCAATCAAGCTAGGATCACCGAACAGCATAAATGTATAATTATTACTACAGTGAAAATAGTAGATGAAGCCCACAATGAATGTAATTCATTGTCATTGAATCTCTAGTCTTTCATCTCTAACTTTTCAAAGCTTACTGTTCCACCTACAATATATATGATGCTATCACATTACTATTTAATTTGTGTTTTTCCACTACACAGCCCAACTTTTGTTAAAAGTCAGGAAACATCTTTCTAAACATTAATTCCATTAGTCTCAAAATTTAATTAATATAAAACTCGAGTAATGCTCTTTCAAGTATGCCCCCTCTCAAACCAGGGCTACAAAAAAAATAGGTTGTCCCTTGCACTTTAGGATATCCTTCAACCATCTACGAAGTGATTAACACACATTCTTCAGGGTTTCATGGGGTAAATTCTCCCATGACTCAGAGAGAGCAACATCCAACAGTGGGAGTAGGCTGATACCCTTACCCTAGATCTCTATCACAGGTCAGAGATTTTTATGGGGGCTCAAGTATGGAATTTCCTGGCCAGTCATCAGAGTAGCATACCTCACAGTCACAGGGCCACTAAACAAGATTTAGCTGTGTAGCAAAGAGCACTGTTTTACATAAAAATCTTTGCATCACATTGTGTGAAAGATTTTGGCAAATGATCACAGAGTAATTCCAGGTACATTATTACAGTTAAAGTTAGTGGGAATTTTTTTTAAGGCTTCCCTGGACATGCTTTTGGTGTAGGCATTCATCATCACTGTTCTCAAGGAAGTGGCACAACCAGGTCCTCACTGAATGCTCATGCAGGTTGATGGCATTCTTCTATGTCCCTCACTTGATGGCCTACCTTATGTAATCCAATGATCTGTGCAAATTGTCTTATGTCACCAATTTATTCCTGCCCATATTAATTTGCCTATAGCCAGATATGTCCAACAAACTCGGCACTCAAGACCAAAAGACACTGGGAAACCAATGACACAAATTTGTCCATCACACAAGCCTAGAAGGTACTTAGGATACAGCCAGCAGCCTTAGGGAATCTTGAGATTTCCTGCTGTGAATTGCCAGGTCAACACCAAAACACCTAACAGGGTAGAATATTACTTTCAACATTAAAATATGCTAGGTGGAAGCCAAATGATATACTTTAATGACAAGCACTGTACAGCAACTCCTCACTTAACGACGGAGTTCCGTTCCTAAGACCACGTTGGTAAACGGATACTTCACATGCTATAATGGTAAGGGGTTTGTGTCAACCATCTTTGATATTGTTTTAATGTCACCTTTGCACCATTTATAACATTTCTGGTATATTTTTATATGTTTATATAATAGTGTACTGTATATCGTAATAAACAGAATATTGGAAATCAGCTCTAATATACATTATTTATGCACACTGGTCTAATATACATTATTTATGCATATACTTGTCAGAGTCATCTGAGTCATCGGTCAACGAGTACATCACTAAGTGAGGCGAGGCTGTATATACTGTACATCAAATTACAATAAAAATTTTGTTAGGCACTTATAATGAATGGAAGATCACCTTAAAGATAGTGAGAGAGATTATTAAATAACCAGGGAAAACAATGAAAGAAGAGAAATAAATAAAGGGCAAAGCTTTAATAATGAGCCAAATAAATATGAAAGAAAAAAAAAAGAGAAAATGCCCAAACTGGCTAGCAAAGATTTTACTAAAATATAAAGTTGCATAAAGAGAAACTTTCATTTTTCTTTTTAGGTCACCCTGCCTTGGTGGGACATGGCTGGTTTGTTAAAAAAAAAAAAAAACTATCAACCAATTCTGGTATTTATAAAAAATTGCATTATCTCAAGTGACATTATCTATCTACCTACCAGGAAGAACATTCGTTGCTGGTAGCCTTTACGGGAGAGCTTTTGTAAACAGCCTTCTCTTAAAAATTCCCGACCAGGCTGTATCAAATTGTCAATTCCAATTAGGTCCCGTTGTAACTCAACCAGCTTGACCAAATTCTCCTGAATGTAAAAAATTACAAATAGAAATTTACTACGTATCATATAAAGTAGAAGGAATATATTATAGATGCTGAACTGTACTTATTTGTCAATATAAATACAATCACACACACACACACACACACACACACACACACACACACACACACACACACACACACACACACTCAACACACACACACACACACTCTCAACACACACACCCTCTCAACACACACACACACACACATCAACACACACACAACACTCAAACACACACACACACTCAACACACACACACACTCACACACACACACACACACAACACACACACACACACTCAACACAACACACACACACACACACACACCACACACACCACACACACACACAACACACACACACACACACACACTCACACACACACACACTCAACACACCACACACACTAACACAACACACACACACATCACACACACACACACACACTCAACACACACACACACACTCAACACACACACACACACACACCACACACATCAACACACCACACTCACACACACACACACACACACAACCACACACACACACACACACACACACACACACACACACACACACACACGGAGGTGCAAATACTGCTAAATGACCTGATACCTCAAAGGCGAGGGGTCTGGACAACATCTCCCCGTGGGTCCTTAGAGAAGGAGCAGGGCCGCTGTGCGTGCCACTTACCATAATCTTCAATACATCCCTTGAAACTGGGCAACTACCTTGTCAGCATAGTTGCTGATCCCCTACATGTGTTGTATAGCTTATCTGTGTTTCATAGTACCATCCATATGTTTTATATACATGACCCCTTTGCTGGGGCCTAGTGATTGTTTGTATGACGTCACGGGATGTGGCATGAGTGCGTGGGACGTGCTACCTCACTCTCAGTCCACGCATAGGTCTACCAGGCAACACACGGCAGGTTGGGCTCCCCTTTCTCACATTCTGCAATATATTGTTACCATCCAACAAGTGTGTATATCTTCAACCCTCCTTATCTCCTTTCGAACCCCTGAGGTCCCCATTTTTAAGAAAGGAGACAGAAACGCGGCACTAAACTACAAACCAGTGTCTCTGACGTGTATAGTATGCAAAGTCATGGAGAAGATAATCAGGAGGAGAGTGGTGGAGCACCTGGAACAAAACACGATTATTAACAACAACCAGCACGGATTCATGGAAGGCAAATCCCATGTCACAAACCTTCTGGAGTTTTATTACAAGGTAACAGAAGTAAGAAATGAGAGAGGTGGGTTGATTGCATTTTCCTGGACTGCAGGAAGGCCCTCAACACAGTTCCTCACAGGAGATTAGTGCAGAAGCTGGAGGATCAGGCACGTATAACAGGAGGGGCACTGCAATGGATCAGAGAATACCTGACAGGGAGGCAACAACGGGTCATGGTACGTGATGAGGTATCACAGTGGGCTCCTGTGACAAGCGGGGTACCACATGGGTCAGTCCTAGGACCAGTGCTATTTTTGATACAGTAGACCCCCACCTTACAATATTAATCCGTTCATGAGAGCTCATCATAAGACGAAATTATTGTATGGCGAATTAATTTTCCCCATAAGAAATAATGGAAATCAAATTAATCTGTGCAAGACACCACAAAGTATGAAAAAAAAAAACTTAAGAAGACATGCACAATCAATACTCTACTAAGAATACAATACATAACACTTACCTATATTGAAGATCTGGTGATGATTGATGGGATGGGAGGAGGGGAGTGTGTGGAAGTTGTTATTGTTTAGAAGGGGAATCCCCTTCCATTAGAACTTGAGGTAGCAAGTCCTTTTCCGGGGTTACTTCCCTTCTTCTTTTAATGCCACTAGGACCAGCTTGAGTCACTGGACCTCTGTCACACAACAAATCTGTACATAGAGGTCTGTACTTCCTTAAAATGGGCCACAACATTGTCATTGTAATAGTCACCAGCATGGCTTGCAGTAGCTGTGTTAGGGTGATTTTCATCCATAAAGGTTTGCACTTCAACCCACTTTGCACACAATTCCTTAATTTTTGAAGTAGGCACAAAGGATTCCACAACTGGCATAGGCTTCTCAGGGTTAGCCCCAAACCCTTCAAAATCTTAATTTCCATATTAATTCTCACCCTTTTTACCACAGGGTTGGCACTAGAAGCTTTCTTGGGGCCCATGGTGACTTATTTTGCAGCTGCAATCACTAAAAATACTGTGATAATATGAAATGTACCAAATGTATGTGTGGATGCGACTGCACTGGCTGGCTTGTAAACACTGACACCCACGGGGCAGCTGAGGCCACGTGTGGGACCCGTCCCAGACGAATTGCATGAGGCGAGTTTTTTAGTGTGAGGCGAGGCAAAAATTTTTGCGTTCAAATGTATCGTATGGCGGATTTAACGTAACGCGATGCCATCGTAAGGCAGGGGTCCACTGTATATGTGAATGACATGGTAGAAGGGATAGACTCTGAAGTGTCCCTGTTCGCAGATGATGTGAAGCTAATGAGAAGGATTAAATCGGATGAGGATCAGGCAGGATTACAAAGAGACCTAGATAGGCTGGACACGTGGTCCAGCAACTGGCTTCTCGATTTCAACCCTGCCAAATGCAAAGTCATGAAGATTGGAGAAGGGCAAAGAAGATTGCAGACAGAGTATAGACTAGGTGGACAAAGGCTGCAAACCTCACTCAAGTAGAAAGATCTTGGGGTGACTATAACACTGAGCACGTCTCCTGAGGCATACATCAACCAGAAAACGGCTGCAGCATATGGGTGCCTGGCAAACCTGAAAATAGCGTTCCGATATCTTTGTAAGGAATCGTTCAAGACACTGTACACTGTGTACGTCAGGCCCATACTGGAGTATGCAGCACCAGTTTGGAACCCACACCTGGTCAAGCACGTCAAGAAATTAGAGAAGTACAAAGGTTTGTAACAAGGCTAGTTCCGGAGCTCAGGGGAATGTCCTATGAAGAAAGGTTGAGGGAAATCGGACTGACGACACTGGAGGACTGGAGGGTCAGGGGAGACATGATAACGTACAAAATAATGTGTGGAATAGACAAGGTGGACAGAGACAGGATGTTCCAGAGATGGAACACAGAAACAAGGGGTCACAACTGGAAGCTGAAAACTCAGACAAGTCACAGGGATGTTAGGAAGTACTTCTTCAGTCACAGAGTAGTCAGGAAGTGGAATAGCCTAGCAAGTGACGTAGTGGAGGCAGGAACCATACATAGCTTTAAGAGGAGGTATGACATAGCTCAGGAAGCAGAGAGAGGACCTAGTAGCGATCAGTGAAGAGGCGGGGCCAGGAGCCGAGTCTCGACCCCTGCAACCACAATTAGGTGAGTACACACACACACACACGCTCACACACACACAGGGCTGGATTAAGAAGTCTCCGGGCCCTAGGCTATTCAGATTGGCGGGGCCCCTTTGAGTTACGGGTAAGTGAAGCAACCCCTTCCAGCTTGGGGGGGGGGGGGCGGTGTGAGCCTGTTTAAGGTCTAATTAAATACATTCTGGCTATTTAGATTAAATTTAATAGGGAAAGCACATCAAGACAACCAAAACCATTTACCAACAGCCATTATAACTATCTTGTTAAATCATGCATTTTAAAGAGAATAAACTCAAGACAGCATAGTATTACTAGATTAGGCTATTAAAGTAGTGACATCATGTACCTATTATATTCAGCATAACCACTACAGCACTATTATTCCCTTTATAAATCACTGACCATTATTGTTATCATTGCATCATGCATAAGACTATCAAATCATATAAACTCAAGAAAGTAAAGAATTGTTTATATTCACAGGCACTTCTTAAATAAACTTTTTTCTGGATTTCATATTGGCAAAAAATCATCAATTATATTCTGAAAATCAATATTTCTTGTTAGATCAGACTCAATGGTCAACAAGGCTAGGTTACACATTTGTCTTGGCTCATTGTTGAACGGAGCTGGTTTTTCACTCTTTTCAAAACAGAAAATGAACGTTCTCTTTCACAGTTAGTAGCTGGAAGTGTTAGGTAAGGCGATACACTATGTCAACATTAGGGAAGGTTTCTGAGATACCGGCATTTCTTAAATGTTTCAAAGCAGTGAGGGTGCACATTTTTCAGGTGGAGCTTTAATCTGATTCATATACCCAGAAAAAATTAACTATTTCTTCAACAAATGTGTCCTGAACATCTGCTGAAAGGTGTTGTTGCAACTTTAATGCAGCTTCTCTCAATTCTGCATCTGGCATAGTAGTAATTTTGAACAGAAATCCAAACTTGTCATTGAGATTCTGGTAGATTTTTTTCTTTTCACCAATTCTGTAATCAGTGAATCCAGAATGACGAAGTATGTAGCTGTCTTACATTTCTGCTTGGTAGCAACACAATTTCATTGTCTGGCTCTTCAAAATTGCTTTCCTCTTCCTTGACCGCTGATGATCAGCCCGGTAACTTTAGTCTTTCACCAGCAGTTTAGCTTTCTCTTCAAACATTTCAAAAGCTTCATCATTGCGAAGTGAGCTTACAAATTCCACTAAGCCTGCATAGAGGTTAGCACAAGTAGCCATTTCAATTTCAATTTTCTGAAGTGTCTTGTTCGTGGCATTTAACCGTTCCAGTATACAGTCCCAAAGCACACAGAGTAAGACCAATTCAAAATCTTCCAATTTTGATGCTAAGCTGGCTGCTTCACTTCTTGTAGTTGCTGTCTGGTCTTCATCCTCTGCTATTTGGATCAAAACAGAACGTATTTCAGCAAAGCTGTCTTTCAAAGCATGTGTTGCATCATGCTGCACTGACCACCTTGTTGCTGATAATGATTTGATGACATCTCCATAAATGGTTGACTTGAGTATACTCCACCGATGCGTTGAAGCAGAGAAAAAATTAAAGAGTGCTTGTAAAAGTCCAAAAAATGAAACTGCAGCGACACAACACTCCGCAGCACATGACCCAACAAGACTAGGAGAATGTGCTGAGCAGGGCACATATTCAGCAAGTGGGTTGATTTGCTTGATACGGGCTTGCAATCCATATTTACCCGACATGTTACTTGCATTGTCGTAGCTCTGGCCACGGCAATCCATAATAGAGAGATCATGTTCAAGCAGAGTATCCAGTACTACATTCATCATTGTTTCTCCATCATGGCCTGAAAGAAGAATGAATTTTATAAAGCTCTATACAGGCTTACCACTGGAGTCGACAAAGCGAACAATGAATGTCAATTGATCTGTATGTGAAATATCTGGTGTTGAATCTACACTTATTGCAAAGTATTTTGCAGTTGTCACAGCTGCTATGATGTTTTTGAGGACCTTCTTAGTCATCAGTTCAATAAATTCATTGCATATAGTAGATGACATGTAAGATACAGTGCCTCTTCCTGCATTCCCAAGGCATGACACATGATTTGCTAAGAATGGATTGAATTGTGCTAACAGTTCTATGATCCCTAGGAAATTGCCATTGTTTTCCGAACCAAAAACCTCATTTTCTCCACGGAAAGCAAGTCCTCTTAGAGCTAAGATTTTTACAACCAGCAACAACTCTTTCTAGAACTTTTCTCCAATAAGTGCGCTCTTTTTCAGTTTGATTTTCCAAATGAGAATCCAATAAGCCTTTTTTCTGTGCACGAAATACACTGGCTAAAATGCAGCTCCTGTGAGTGGTGCTGTTTTCATGTTCCTCGAAACGCTTGGAATTTTTCCAGTCATTGAACCCTGTGTGAAGGTATTTTCTTTGGTAGAAAATAGCTTGCATGCTGAACAGTACACTTTTCCTGAGCTTTCAGAGTATACCATCCATGATCTTTTCACAATTTCTGATTTGAAAAGCTTCCTATAAAACATTAGATGACTTTAAACAACGACGACTTCCATCATCATAAATCCTTGCTGATTTCCTAAAGTCAATGTTCAGAGTTTGACTGAAGTTTTCTGCAATGAAAGCATTACGTAGAGAATCTGAGATTACATTTGGCCATGAGGCAGGATCTTTTAAGACAAATCCTGTGGATGAAATGTCATTGAGACATTGAGAGGAGACACAAAAGAGTAGATGCTGGCTGAGAAATAATGGAGGGAGGGCTTCCTGTATGATCTGACGTATCTGCAGATTCAACTGTACTGGTAACATCAGAAACTGTTTTCGTAAGCATGTCTGTGATCTTTCTGTAGCTTCCTACATCTTTCTTTTTCTGTTCTTCTTCTTGAATTTTCTTCTTTCTTTTCTGTGACCCACTCACATAAGAACGACCAATATCACGTTCACGAGATGCCATAATGAGGATGTATCACTGTCTGTAATCATGCAAATACAAATTTTTCATTATCAATTATTATTAATTTTTTAATTATTATTAATTTTTTTTTCTGTCAATTGGGGGGATATGGCCCTTGTAGCCCCTTTCCTCTGGCTGCGCATCTAAAAATTCAAAACGTTACCAGAAAGGAGTCATATACAGAACTTTTACCATAGATTAGGTTAGTGATTTGGGCTACGAATATTTTACTAATTCATCCTCCTTGATCTCCAATTTACTTAAACAGAAATCATACCGAGTCCAAGAACAATGCACAATGGTATTTATATTACCATTTTCTTAATTAAACTAATCATTATGTTTTGCATGATATATGGCCTACCACCATAGATAAGGACATGAGAATTAAAGAATGAAGGGACAATTTTCAGTTTCACCCAACCAACGATTTTCTGATGTGGCTTATGTGTTTCTGGGGAAATATGTAGTAAATTAATTGATGTTCTACATCACTTCCGTCGCAACTTGAAAACTAAGCATTTGCGACGGAAGTGATGTAGAACATCAATCAATTGAGATCTGTTATTGAAATGATAAAGACTTAGACAGGACAAAGTGCTTTTAAAACCTACAAACGGAATGTGGAGAAATTTTCTCCAGGAGGGGGGTATCAGCCCCCTTCAGCCCCTTCACCCCCTCTCAGCCCTGAGGGGCCCAGCCCTCTCAGAAGGGGCAAGCGTCTTGTTTACTGCTACAGTGAGTAATTGATCACAGATGCCGTACGAGTATGCGACGTGGTCAAGTGACCACTGCTCCTTGCAGTCCTGTGTTGCAAAGTGTAGCTTAATAAAAGACAGTTCATCTCTTACTTTAGCAGGACAATTAAGGAAAATCCTGCTCCCACTTTATTACCATGGTAAAGATAGTGGACGTTGTTGTCTATGCTTAAGACAGCAAGAAACAAGCATTTTGCTTTGTTTCATCGAGGAAGTGGCAAGGAAGCAAAAGTACTAGGTCAGCATTTTTTTTGTGCAAGGGGCAGTGGCGGCATGGGGCGCTGTGGCATTTTCAGATTACTTTTGACTCTACTGAGAGTGACACTGACGCCAGGATAACCAACAAAGAACAACGATCTGTGCGTTAGTGTGAACAAAGTGTCTCACAAAACACAATAAACACTTAAGAGAAGTGTGATCAGCTTCTCTTGTGATAAGATTGTGAACAATAAAGACAAATCTTGTGGAACATAGTGTACCAGTGTGCGTTTCCTAGACTATGGAAGACGTGGACATCCAAGGACACTTCAGCTTCTATCAAGTCACCGATATCTGTCGAAGGTGTGAAGAACACCATAGCTCACGCTACAAGAGCAAGGTAGGTTACGAATTTCTTGTCGTACGGGGGACTGCGCAGTTCTTGAGTCGCAAGGAGTTTGTAATCAACCTATAGTCGGCAGTAAGGGGTGGACTTTTGAGTCCACACAAGTAAGTTTGTCAGCCATCAGTGAATGAAATATGCTGACATAACACCCCCTAGGGGTAATTTATAATCTTACAAATTATAAATCTTTACAGCCCATTGAGAGATGACTTCGACAGCTTCTCAAGACCTCGTCTGCAGGGGCGGCTGTGCAGGCGATGAGCTGTCTTTCTAAGTTAAGTAAAAACTCTTTAAACTTAGCTGGTAAAGCCATTCCTCAACACAGAAGTCAGTTTGGTAGGTTTTTCTTTATAGTATTTTTACCAAAAATGCGACTTTACTGGTCCATGCGTCTTTACTGGCCAAGTAACCCTATCAGGTACCTCCCTTAACATTTCGAGGCGAAAACAAACATTTATCCATACACATCAATATCTATCAACAACACTTTAGTTAATCTGTCACAGTACAAGTCTAGATAACGTGTAATTACTACAGAAAATAGGAGAGGAATCTCCCATACTCACCCATTAGCAGGAAAACACAGCTGTTCTGATGTAAACAAAGGTGTGTTGAGTGTTGCCATCTATGGTTAGGTTTATTTATTTTTATTTTATTTCATTATTTATTTTTGTTTTGATTAATTTTTAAAAATCAATTTTACTCTCCAAACACTTGAACGTTTTAGGTAGGGACCCCTTTGCACTTGCACCATGTGCGCAGTCTTGGATAAGCCCCTGAACCTCTTGGACCACAGGGCCCCCAAATCCGCGGGGCCCTAGGCAAATGCCTAGTTTGCCTATGCGGTAATCCGGCCCTGCACACACACACGCTCACACACACATGCTCACACACACACGCTCACACACACATGCTCACACACACACACACGCTCACACACACACACGCTCACACACACACACTCACACACGCGCTCACACACGCACGCTCACACACCCACGCTCACACACGCACGCTCACACACGCACGCTCACACACGCACGCTCACACACGCACGCTCACACACGCACGCTCACACACACACGCTCACACACGCACGCTCACACACCCACGCTCACACACGCACGCTCACACACACACACACACTCACATACTCACACACTCTTACTCTTGCACTCACTCTTGCACTCACTCTCGCACTCGCCTATAATACAACTTGCTCTCCAACACTAAAATATGCAGATACTGTAGTTGAAATTTGCATTTAATTAAGTAAAATACAGTAATGGCACCACTGTATATAATTTTGTGTTTGCATGAGAGCAAATATCACTCACTGACCTATAATGAACAGGTTCAACAAGCTACATTTTAATAGAGAACAATATGTTTCACAATATCTGCAGCTACTAGAGTCACATGAATGTCAGTTACAACACAAATTTATAAAGCTTACTGAGTTAGACAGAGCAGGAACCATGCCCTTAATGACCTGGCTCAGCTTGGCCTTTGCAGTCATGCACTCTCGGTAGTCATGGTGATTTGCACTACCATAGTGCTTCACTAAACCTGAAATATAAATTCCATGGTGAATACCTCTTCTGTCAAATCAGAAGCTCTAGGAGTATTGTTATTACAATATATATGAACAGAATGTGTGCCCAGTACGTACAAGAGTAACAACTGACACTCTGCAACTTTATTATAGGGAAACCTAATGGTACACAGTAAAATGACAAAACAGCAGTTACATGGAAAGTTATTCTGTAGACATACAGGCCATGCAGGGCAAACAGGTGAATCTTGATAGTCACTGCAAGGGCAAAATGTTGTCAATAAGCATTCATGTAACTGTACTTGTGTCTACTCCACTGCATTAGAGCAAGATAACACCCATCTTTTATTTTTATTTCATACAACTTATAGTGCAATATAATTCTTTTCCACCTAGAAATAATATAGGACTGAATACCATTCCTAGAACTTGTACCAGAAGCCCTCTTTGAAAGAAGAAAAAAATGCTTCCTCACACATTCACAATGCAAGGCTACACTTTTAATATCTTCCAACCAGCTGAAGCAAAAGATGTACAGTTGACCCTTGAACAACACAGCTTTGAACTGAGCAGGTCCACTTACAGAATTTTTTCAATAAATATATTGGAATTTTTTTTTTCAAATCTGCAACCACAAAAATAATAAAAATTAGGTATATCATGAATGCATAAAATATATGTAGATACTAGTCTATTTTAGCATTTACTACCATAAAATATACACAAATATATTATAAAAAGTTAAAATTTATCAAAAGTTATGCACACAAGCAATTAAAGATCATACATGTCCCATTCACAGTTGAGAGAAATGTCAACAGTTGTTAAGAAGCAATATTTTTTTATTTTTATTAACATACTGGCCGTCTCCAAACGAGGGAGGGTGGCCCGAAAAAGAAAAACCTTCATCATCATTTACTCCATCACTGTCTTGCCAGAGGCATGCTCACACTCTAGTTATAAAACTACAACATTAACAACACACGTTAAGAAGCAATACTGAATTATAAATAAATATCAATTTCTTTTTCACATTATCTTTTCATTTTTGATGTCTAGTGTTAGCAATATGTACAACACCTACAGAGTTTTGTATCACATAAGACAATCATGTAGGTACTGACAGATGAATCATCTTGAAAACAGATGACATAAACTTATGGTATTGATAAATATGGTACAGTACTATTAATGTATTTTCTCTTCCTTATGATATTCTTAATAACATTTTCTTTTCTCTAGCTCCTACTTTTTTCTAAGAATACAGCACGTAATACATATACAAAATATGTGTTAATCAACTGTTTATGTTATCGGTAAAGCTTCCAGTCAAGAGTAGGCTATTAATAGTTAAGTTTTGGGGGAGTCAAAAGTTATACGCGGATTTTCGGCTCTGCAGGGGGGTCGGTGCCCCTAACCCCCCCCCATTGTTCAAGGGTCAACTGCACATAGTAAAACTGTTGTTACTTTGATAGAAGTCTCTGGGTGCAATCTGCACCCAAAAGTCAAAATGGGATACTGTAACCACTTCCTTACTAATCAGATCACTGGAGATTCATTCTACTAGTCATTTTCTTGTAGAGAAAAAATAGCACTCTCCTTCGACTGCATTCTGTCCTAATTTTATCAAAACTACGTTATGGCGACTAGATATATTCAGCGGCCACTCCTGCAACTCCTAGCCTTGATCCCATTCATCACCAAGGATTACATTTATGCCTCGGTGCTTTTTGATCTTCGCCTGTTGAGAGCCTCTATGCAGAGGCGAATATTCCATCCTTGACCAATCACCGTGATGCTCAATGCCTCCGCTATTTTGTATGCTCTCATGACCTCTACAATCCTTCCATATATAGGTTAGTAACGGATGTTAGTAGAAGTTCCTTATTTGTTCGTTGCCCATGTTTACTCCGTCCCTTTTCTCTTCATCTATATTTGCTCTTGTCTTCTCTTCAGCTGCTGCCTTTCTGTGTACATGTAGCATCTAACTTTTCCTTTCCCCCTTTGGAAGTTCTGATGGTTCATGTCTGTTCTTCCTCACTGCCATGTGCAAAAGTCCAAATACCTATGGTTGCTTTTCGCTCTCTTTTCCTTAATCATTTCCAGTCTCATTCTCATGCCATCGCAGAGTACACTGATGGTTCCAAGTCTTCTGTCAGTATCAGATTTCCAGCAGTGTTTCTGGACAGTGTCGTACGAGAGCATTTATTAGCCTCAGCTAGCATTTTTATGACTGAATTACGTATATGCAATTCCTGTAGCGCTTATCCATATTGCATTTATGCCTGTGTCACCATTTGTGGTAGTTTCAGACTCCCTTAATGCTTTGCAGGTTTTAAGAAAATTTGATGCACCTCATCCCCTGGTTCTTCGTATCCAACTTTGGTTACACAATAGCTCTAGCAAGCACAAAGATGCTATTTTTTGTTGGATCCCTGGTCATGTTGATGTACAGGGCAACGAACAGGCAGACACTGCTGCGCAGTCAGCAGTACGTGACCTCCCTGTTTCAAATAGAGGTGTTCCATTCACAGATTATTTTTCTGTAATTTCTACCCACCTTCACAATCGTTGGCAATGTTGCTCTGATCTTCTACATAACAAATTACATTCTATTAAACCAAGTATAGGTTTCTGGCTATCATCTTGTCATCAATGCTGTGGCTGGGAGACTACACTCTCCCGTCTTCGCATCGGGTATCTCACGGAGAGACGCTCTGTTCCACTTTGTGAGAACTGTCAGGTTCCAGTTTCTGTTTGCCATATTCTGTTGGACTGTCCACTCTATCAACGTGCACACAGAATTTACCTCCGACAATGTCACCACTCTAATGCCCTTACTTTATCTTCCCTCCTTGCTGATGGACCCTCCTTTGACTCAGACTCATTGACTTTTTGACAGCAACTGATTTACTTCACAAACTTTGATGATGCTGCCTCTAGCACTCCTCGCAGCCCTTTCTATCTCTCCCTCTTGCTACCCTATACCCCTGTGCCTTCCCCTGCCCCAATGCACTGTATGACCCTCCTAATAATACCTCTCCCTCTTGCCACCCAGTGCTCCTGTATTTTTCCCTGCCATGCTGCACTGTATGACCCTTGTTGGTTTAGCACTTCATTTTTATAATAATAATAATAATAATAATAATAATAATAATAATAATAATAATTGTATAGAAAATCCTGAAGAACATCAAAGGAGCTAGAGGGTTATGGTGAGCAGCAACCTTAAACCAAGACAGCAATGCATAAGCGTACGTAATAAGGCAAATAGATTACTGGGATTTATATCAAGTAGTGTAAGCAACAGAAGTCCATAGGTCATACTGCAGCTTTATACATCATTAGTAAGGCCTCACCTAGATTATGCAGCTCAGTTCTGGTCTCCATATTACAGAATGGACATAAATTTGTTAGAAAACATTCAGCGTAGGATGACTAAATTAATACATAGCATTAGAAATCTTCCTTATGAAGAAAGATTGAAGACTTAAATTACATTCACGTGTTAGACGAAGAATGAGGGGAGACATGATCGAAGTGTTTAAGTGGAAGATAGGTATTAATAAAGGGGATATTGAACATTAAAATGGTATAAAATACCGACAGGTTGTTAGGTAAGACACATATGCAACAGTTAGGTATCTTTATTTCGAAACGTTTCGCCTACACAGTAGGCTTCTTCAGTCGAGTACAGAAAAGTTGATAGAATCAGAAGAGACTTGAAGACGATGTAATTAGTCCATCACCCTTAAAGTTTTGAGGTGGTCAGTCCCTCAGTCTGGAGAAGAGCATTGTTCCATAGTCTGAAACAATATGGAGTTGAAGTGACAGGATGGAGCCTTATATAGCGCCAGGAGGTGAGACGTAGGTCACTAGAAGAGGTAAGAACGCATATGTTGGGAGGTCAGGTCCCTCTCAAATCCAGCCGTTCTCACTAGTAGAGGTTGTCAAAGTTGATTGCAGGTCTGTACCAAGATACCCTTGTGTTGCAGTGTCTGACAGATTGAACATTACCTAACAGATTGAACATTGCCTAACAGATTGAACATTACCTAACAACCTGTCAGTATTTTATACCATTTTAATGTTCAATCTGTCAGACACTGCAACACAAGGGTATCTTGGTACAGACCTGCAATCAACTTCGACAACCTCTACTAGTGAGAACGGCTGGATTTGAGAGGGACCTGACCTCCCAACATCTGCATTCTTACTTAAGAACATAAGAACATAAGAAAGGAGGAACACTGCAGGAGGCCTGTTGGCCCATACTAGGCAGGTCCTTTACAAATCATCCCACTAACAAAACATTTGCCCAACCCAATTTTCAATGCCACCCAAGAAATAAGCTCTGATGTGAAAGTCCCACTCAAATCCAACCCCTCCCACTCACGTACTTATCCAACCTAAATTTGAAACTACCCAAAGTCCCAGCCTCAATAACCCAACTAGGTAGACTGTTCCACTCATCAACTACCCTATTTCCAAACCAATACTTTCCTATGTCCTTTCTAAATCTAAACTTATCTAATTTAAATCCATTACTGCGGGTTCTCTCTTGGGGAGACATCCTCAAGACCTTATTAATATCCTCTTTATTAATACCTATCTTCCACTTATACACTTCGATCAGGTCTCCCCTCATTCTTCGTCTAACAAGTGAATGTAACTTAAGAGTCTTCAATCTTTCTTCATAAGGAAGATTTCTAATGCTATGTATTAATTTAGTCATCCTACGCTGAATGTTTTCTAACGAATTTATGTCCATTCTGTAATATGGAGACCAGAACTGAGCTGCATAATCTAGGTGAGGCCTTACTAATGATGTATAAAGCTGCAGTATGACCTCTGGACTTCTGTTGCTTACACTTCTTGATATAAATCCCAGTAATCTATCTGCCTTATTACGCACGCTCAGGCATTGCTGTCTTGGTTTAAGGTTGCTGCTCACCATAACCTCCAAGTCCTTTTCGCAATCTGTATGGCTAAGTTCTACATCATTTAACTTATA